GCTCTGTGCCCATGCCGGGCAAGATGCCTGGTACACAGTAGGTGCCCGATAACGACGTGGATGAATAGGAACCTGGACCAAGGGGATTTTTGCGGCGCTTTGAGCGCACGTCTCCCAGTTCTACAGGGCTCGCAGCGCACAGTGGGATTTCCGCTCCGTTTCAGCTCCAGTAACACCGAGGTTGGGCTCAGGGAATGCTGGTCTCTACGCTCTTCCAGGAGCTGGTGGGTGAGCTTTCCGGAAATCTTTAAAATGTGTGTAACGCCAGTTGAGCTAGTCAGCGGCAAAAGAATGCACAGAAAGGCCATAACTGGGCTAATTTATAAAACGTGACTGTTTTTATTGTCATCGTAAAGAGACGGATCTCAACCAGATCGTAACAAAACTACCACAGCTTATTCCAAAAGAAAACTTTAATACAAGAGATTTTAGAAAATTAAACACATTTGTTTAAAAATTCTATTGTGTAAACCTTAACATAAGAGGGCAGTTAACGTAATACTACTCGCTTCAGAGCGGATCTGCGGACTGCTCGACCCCACGTCCATCCCAGCGGTTGACTGGACCCGCATCTGTTGCCGTACTCCCCCCTCCCCGGCAGAGGGCTCACACGGCCCCGGCAAGGCCAGGGGGACTCTTCATGGGGGCTTGGTAGCCTCCCCGCTGGGCACCACAGCTCCTGCATTCACAGGTCCCCCTCCTCCCGGAAGTCCAGGCCGAATGCCAGCTGAGAACATGCCCTAGTGAGCTCCGGCCCCCCTCACTCCTGGAAGCGCGTGTTCTCCGGGCTCCTTCCAGCAACTCCGGGTGCAGATGTGCGGTCTGCTGGCCTGTGTCCTTTGTGGCCGCAATCCCGGTTCTTGCAAAGGCCCCCCCTCCATGGTTTCTACTGATGGTGCAAAGAGTCTTGCAGTGGGAAGAGTGGCCTCCCGGCTTGCGGGTCGGGAAGGCAGGGAGCGGGCCTGATCAGGCCCCGAGGAGGAGGAGGGTGCGACCTGAGCAGGTCTGCGAGTGGAGCTCCAGTCACGACGGACAAGCATGCCCGGGCCCGTACGAACGGAACCCCCAGACCTCAAAGCAGCAGTGAACTTGGTCTCCTTACTGTAGGCTCGACTGTCCTTTCCAGAAATCAGATTGGGTACTTTCCCCTAAGGAAACGGATTCAGTAGGTACAGAAGCCCATGCTCGGTGGCTGTGAGGATGTAGACCCACAAGAAGAGGCTCCCGGCCCTCACTGAGAGCCGTCAAAGGCTGGCCCACACCCCACTGCGGTTCACGGCCGAGGGCAGGGGAGCCCCGCGGGGCTGAGCTGAGCGGTGCATCCGGGCAGCCCGAGTGCACCTGTGTCCCCCCCATCCCTACTGATCCATTTGAGGAACCTAATCAAAACCACCTGTTACATGACAATGAACTTTTTGGCACAGAAACATTAGATAAAATATACAGTGCTACAATTGTGCAAAATTAGCCCAGAAGCCAAGCCCGAGAGCAAATATTTAATGTTCGCTTTAATGAAACAATGCAAAATATTTAGAAAAAGGATGGTTGTAGGAGGCGTCGCCCCGCAGCAGAGGGCTGCCTGCCAGGAGCACCCCTCTGTCTGCCGTAGCCCGGGCCGGGGACAGAGCCCAGCGTGCGGGGCACAGTCCCGCGCGAAACCTGGAGGGAAGGCCGAGAGGATTATTGCTGTTGGGGTTGAAATGGAGCGGGACGTGTGCCCCTCCTGGGACGCCTCGGTGCCGGTCTGCTGTTCCTGGGTGGGTGGGGGCCTGGCAGGGTGGCTCCAGGCTGAAAATGGAGCCTGGTGTTCCACCTCACGTCTGTGCCCAGGCAAGACGGTCCCCCTGGAGTGGAGCGCCTTCCCGGGAACGGGCTCTGGGGCTGGTGCCAAGGTGCCAGGGGAGGCATGAAGGCCTCTGGAGGGGACTGGCGGGGGCTACCTGTGGGGACCCCAGAAGCCAAGGCCTGGCCTCCGTGTGTGGGGCGGGCCGGTTCCCCCGTGCAGGTGAGCAGGTGCGGGAGGAAGTGAGGCCTAGAGCCCCCCCCCCCGCCAAGTTCATGGGTGAACTTGCCCATGTGGAGCCGAGAGAAAAGGATGGTTCGCATAGCCTGGGCCCAGGGACTCCGGTGCAGGGCGCTGGGAAGCAAGCACGAGGTTGGCTGGCAGCTCTCCGCTCCCGTCTCCTGACTCGGGGCCCAAGCATGGGACTCGTGTGAGGCCTCCCGTGCCAGTTGGCTCTTGGCATGAGCTCTGGCCATGCTGTCAAACTGACGACTGTCCGCAGTTCTGACTGTCCGTCGGTTTCAGAAGCACAACCCCCACCCCGCCACGGGCGAGCACTTGGAGCCAAGCACGCAGGAGGCTCCCCGCTGTGGAGCGGAGCCCGGCTTCTAAGTGCCTCTCGTCCACAGACCCTCATCCCCCTTCCTCCCTCTCGGGTCCTATCTCAATGACTCCTCAAGTGATCCCTTTGTAACCCAAGCCCTTGGGTGCACCCGGGTCGTGCTGCTAAAGGTGACCGTCACGGGATAGAATGCCCTCTCCCAGGCGTGCCCCCCAACTTCCTCGGGTGCCAGCTGGGGAGGTGCCAAAGGATCTGACCGGGTCCAGGAGAACAGGAGCGCCTTCTGCTGGTTCTTTCTGTCGTGCTGCCTTTCTCTCCAGTGGGTCCTGCGGCTGAGTGGGTGTCGTGCAGGGCGGGGCCGGCCAGGCCTCGCAGCAGGACAGGACGGAAGGGCAGCAGAGGACACAGCTCCGGCCAGGCGGTGGCGTTTTGTGCCTCGGGTCTCTGCCCCGGCCGGGCCTGTGCTTCCTTCTCCAGGACCTGGAGACCCATTGTTTCTCCGTCCGTCCCAGCACGCCGGGGAGCAGGGCAAGGATCTGGAGCGGCAGGGTGGGGAGCCACTACAGAACATTCTAGGGGACGCCGGAGTCAAGGCTTTGAGGAGTGGTTGTCATGTGTCTGTCACATGGGGATCTGAGTGGAAATGAGGGGAGGGGTCCGTATGCCAACAATGGCTCCAGGGTTTCTGCCGTGTCACGAGGAGGGGTGCACAGAGGAGGCAGCCGGGATGGGTCGCATGTGGTCCCAGGAAGGGGCTTTTCCGTCGGTGTATCAGGAGAGCAGGGCAAGTTTTCCATGAGTAATTAAGCTTTAAAAAATAGGCAGAGTTTCTCCTTCTGTAAACACAGGCCAAGTGCGTAATTGTTTCTCAAGGCTTAGCGTCCGTCTGTTACAGTTCCGGGCACAGAATGTCCAGGCGGGCTCCTGCTGGGGACTTTGGAGAAGGTGAGGTCAGTTCACACTCAGACGTGTTTCGGGCCCGGTGTCCAAACGGGCTGGTGGAGCAGAGCCCTCAGCCCCGGGTGACGTCGGCCCTGGGAGGCTCCCCTCCGTGTCCGCTGCAAACCCCACTTCCCGAGGACCGAGGGGGCAGGACTGGGACAGCGAATCTGGCACGAATGTGCCCCCACTGCCAGCGACGGCGGCCAGCTGTCCCGTGGGCCTGGAGTTCGAAGGAAGCGCAGGCGCCGTGGGGACCTTGGCAAACAAGGCAGAGCCCCGGGTCGCTTTCCTGGGACACAGCGTCTCGGGCCCTGTTGGCCCCCACGAGCTGATGACACGGCCCCTGCACTGGCAACGGTGCTTGGTTCTGCTCCCCCGGCCGACGGCTCCCTGCGAGGTGGTTCGGGTTGCCTCCGTTCCCCGCGGAGGGCGGGGTGGGCTGCACCTCAGCCTTCGGTAAGGGCCCTGAGTCGTTTCCGCTGCCCTCTGGCGGGCGGGGAACTCGCGGCAGAAACCTTCCGGGTGACGCCGTGTAGAGCGTCCGTCTGTCCAGCAGAGGCCTAGTGCTCCCGCAGTGGCTCAGCAAGCCTGGGGCGGCTGAAACGGTTCCGGGAAGCTTCGCAGGCCCCCGACGCGCTCCCACTTCCTCGCGTCAGTCTGGCCCCCGCGTGCTCTGCCACACCGCGCGGGTCTAGCTCCTCCGTCCTTCCCCCGGACGAGCGAGCCCTTCGTATCTGTCCACCGCAGCTGACGCCGGGTCCGTGATTCCGGAGGTCCGAGCCGGCCCACGGCCCCGGTTCTGGGAGGTGACCTGACGCAGGAGGGCAGCTCATCCTCATCCTGTTCCCGCCTGCCACGGGGGCCTGCTCCGAGATGGGCGGCGGGGGACACACCGAGAGCACGGCGGGGCAGAGGGCACAGCAAGAATGCATCCTAAGGGAATGACCGTGACCTGGATACGGGGGCACTGTCCCAGGTACCAGGGAGCCCCATGGAGCTCTGCAGGGCTCCGGAGAATGTTCTGCAAGCCTGAGGGCCTGGGGCCTCTTCCCCCATAGTTCCCAGAATAATCTCTCACACGACCTTGAGGCCTCTTGGCTTGGGAGGTCATGGCCCCAGTCCACCCAAGCCTCACAGTGTGCATGTGGGCCCAGGCGGACTCCGGTTTCCGACAGGGGCTAGTTCTTCCAGAAGCCAACCTCAGAAGGCGGTGGGGAGTGCTCTATGCCCCCCCAGGTCAGCGTCCCTAGTGGCTCCTTAGCAAGAAGGCCACTGGCATGTCTCCCTCGAGGAGGCCACATGAGCTACCGCTGGCCACGGGTTGTACAACCAGGGGGTCTTAGGACCACTGGGAGAGAGTTGAAGGGGAAGGAACACAACCTCCCCCCTCGGGCCCCACGTGTCTGTAGACTACAGCAGGCAGTTACGTTACAAGGAAAAAAAAAAAGTAACAGTCATTCTAATTCCCACATGGGAAAGAGTCAGGAGGCGGTTTCTGACCTGCCTCAGAGCTGTGCCTCTCCGGCAAGGGGCTGTGCACGGCCCCTGGTGCCCACCCTCCTGCCGGCCCCCCTGAACTGGAGGGAGGGGAAGGGCAGGCCCCGGGAGGGTGTCCATGTGTCTGAGTCTGTCCTGCGAGCAGCTGCCTTGCCCTCTGAGACTGCCCAGTTTAATCAGTGTCCCAGGACTCGGGGGTCGGGGGGGGGGTGCCCTCGGGGCTCCACCAGGTGATGGGGGGGCGCACTCCGGGGGGGTAAGGGGCCGGCTGCTGGGGCTGGGCGGGACACGGAGTGGCTGGGCGGAGGCAGCTGGCGCAGCACATAGGGCCCAAGTCTGGGATTCAGCAGAGGTCAGAGGTCGCCGCTCTGGGGCTCCACGTTGCGGGTTTCTCTGGGGTGACCGCGGGACAGCTTGGGGAAGCGGGAAGCCACTTTGGGCCGGGTGTTCTTGGTCAGCGGTTCTCCAGGAGGGGGGACGTCACTGTAAGACAGAGCAGGGAAGAGGTGGATTAAGTCGGGGCATCCAGCAGGGGTGGGCACAGGCGGGAGCGCTCTCAGGGCAGGGGTGGGGGGGACCGCGGCTCTCCAGCTCTGAGGGGCGAGCGCACGGGGGCCGTGGCTTTCTTCCCCCGTTGTCACTGACACGTGCCCTTGCTGGAAGAGGAAAGAAAAGAAAACGCTATGGAGAACACTGCATTTAAGGTCAAAAGAGGTGTAGCAGGAATGGGGGACTGCCTGTGGAACTCGTCCTAAGAGAATAACCAGGATGTAGGCCAACGGCTAATTAGGACTTTCCTGTGCAAAAGAGCCAGAAATAGCACAAGTCAGCAGTCCCACCGAGGGGGTTACCTGTGTCTCTGCAGCGGGACGGCGGGAGCGTGGCAGGCTGTGGGGGAGGGGGGCACAGAGCACCCCGGGAGGACAGACGGTGAGAAGCGAAGGTAACACGGGGTGGGGACACCTCCAGATGTTCGGAAAAGCCTGCGGGAGAGGGCGGTGTGTCCCTTCATCCCATGACGTTCTTGAGCACCCGTGAGGGCCCAGCCCGCTTGGAGCACCTGGAAACAGTCGTGAGCAAAACCGGTTGTCCCAGGCCTGGTAGAGACTCACAGGCCACTGGCGAGATGACATCATATGCAGGACCTGGTGTAAAGGCAGCCTGAGCCTCCCAGGGCAGAAGGTGCCGGAGACGGCGTGTGGGTCGGGTGGGAAGACTCTCTGAGCAGGGACAGGCACGCGGTGCTGGTGGGGGAGGCGCAGTCGTCGGCTGGGCTGGGGCTGTGAAGGCAGAGTTGAATTCTTGTCTGATTTCCTACGGTTCTGGTCACAAATGACCCCATCCTTAGTGGCTTGAATGCAAACATACCATCTTAGAGTTGTGGGGTCTTGAGTCTGAAACGGGTCTTACGGAGCTGAAGTCGGAATGCTGGCACAACTTGTTCCCTCTGGAGGCTCCCAGGGAGACCGCTGCTGCCCGCCGGCGTGGGGAAGCCTTGCGAACCCCGGACTGGCAGAAACACACCGGGCTCCCCGGTTCACGCTGATTCTGTTCATGGGAAGGTCCAGAATAGGGTGGTTTGGGGGAACAGGAAGTGTGTGGCTGCCTGGGGCAGGGGAGACCCAGGGTTCCCTTCTGCCGTGATGGAAACACATCGGAGCGCAGGGACGGCCGTGTGTATTTCTTTCTGGACTCGGAGCTGCTGAAGCGGGCGTGCTCTCAGCGTGGAACTGTGCACGTGGGAACTCTACCCTCACAAGGCTGCTGAAGGAAGTGGCCCAAGCCAAGGCAGCGAGGGGCGCTGCAAGGTCTTCGCCGGCAGGCCCATGCAGGGGGCTTGCTAACTGTCCTCCCCCTGCTGCTGAACTTGGCTTTGGTTCAAAGCCCGCATGGCTCTCCCCTCCTCGAGGTCCACATGGGGACGGTCTCAGGCTTTGAACCAGTGGGCAGGAAGCAAGGGACACACGGAAGCAGAGGCCTCCTTCCCCCAGGCCATGAGATGCGGACTTCCCGAGCTCTAGGGCCCCACAGGGAACCCTGTGGGGACGACACGTCCCCGTGACCGACGCTGGGCACTGGTTCTCAGCACGGCTGGAACCTGGCCTGAGCCCTCAGCTGGAAGGTGGTGGGAGAAGCAGCCTCCTGAGCACGGCCACTCGCCCAGGACACAGCCCACATGTCCCACTGGTCCCACAGGTCCCTTCTCCTCGAGCTCCTGGGGCATCCGAGGAAACAGGTCTGTGTAAGCAGCACCTGCCAGGAGCCCCGGGGAGACTGTTTATTTACTAAACCTCTGGGGTGCACCCCCGTGGCACCCCAGTCCCCAGCACGTGGGTGACATCGATCCAAAGGTCTCAGCCACTCAGCAGTGAAAAATGGCCACAGGGAGAGAGTTATTTTTCATTTGGCTCGTAAACCAGGCGCAGAGAGCCGGTCGATACCCCATTTGCTGGGAGCCGCCTCCCGTAGCTTGGAGGGGGGCTGCACGTGGGTGATGCCAGCTGCCGGGCTGGACCCCGGGGCATGCACAGGACCGAGCTCTCTTCTACCGAAGCTGAGACCACGGTCCCCCGAGAGCCAGCGACTGGGGAGGGCCATGTGTGCACGAGCTAGGACTGCGTGCTGCCTGCACGGTGTGCAAACCAGGAAGAAGGGCTGCCCTTCCAACTGCGGGGGCGGGGGAGGCCTTGCTCCATGCCCACAGCCGGCGGAGGGAGGGCCATGAGCGGCTGGGTTGGTCCGGGTGCACCAGCTACACAGCCTTGAACTCACTTGTGGGCAGACTTTAGGGCTCCAGGTCCTATCATGGGGATCCGAAGGACCCAGCTGGACCCGTGTACCAGTCACTCCACTCCAGTCCTGAAGGTTTCGCTCTGGGAGTGCCATGGCTGTGCCTGACGGAAGGTGGCCTCCGTGCCCTTCCTTGGTTTCTTGCCCCTGGTTAGATCTGGGGCCCAGTGGTTCTGCCCTTGCAGATGACCCAAGGATGGTTCTGGTGGTTCTTCGGATCCCAATTCCTAACCCCGAATGGTCTCTGTGACAGAATGATTCTGAATATAATCCTGGCGCGATGGCCTCATGGCGGGAAGGGGGGTGGGTGGCGCTGCGTTCTTCTGTTCTTGGGACGCCACGGACATTGTTGTGGAGGTTACGGCGACAGTCCCAGGGTGCTTGCTGGGAGGTGGAGGTGCTGTTGCACGCACGGGGGCGCGAAGGGAGTGTCCGGTGCGGCACACGGAGGTACAGGGACTGAGCGGAGGGCACGTGTCTCCCGTGTGACAGTAGGACGCAAGCCTGGGCCCATCTGACGAGACCCAGTTCTTCTTATCCTCTGGGCTCAGGGGCAGGTGACAGATACTTACAGAGAGAAAGACCTCCAGGATCCGGGGAGACAGCGGGAGGTGGGCACTGAGGCTGGAGAGGCTGGATCCTGCACTGCCATGTGAGCCCCTCACCCCGAGGATCACGGGGAGCCCTGTTAGCGTCCCCCGCTTCGGATGTACAGCCTCTAAAGCTTACAGTGGGGCCGGAGTGACAGAGAGGAGCCCCGGGCCCAGGGAGCCCCATGGGGTTGGTATGGCCCCCAGGAGAAGGATCCTGAGGTCAGAGCAAAGATGGGGGAGCAGGCACGGAGCAGGGGTAGGGGTGCTGGAGGGCGAGCCTCCGCGGACACAGCGGCCAATCGGGGCAGGGGAAGGAGTGAAAACAGGTTCCATTTGTGTTTGGAGACTGGACGGGGGTGGGGGGAGCAGCAGAGCTGGAGGGGAAGGTAGAGCGGGTGCCTGTGGTAAATGACGCTACGCGAGAAAGTACAGACGGTGTCAGGTTTCGTTTGCGTACAAGGTGCGAGTCAGTCCACAGAAACACTGTTCTGTCTACTGCTGCCCCCGGAGACGCCGGCTTTCGCTATTTCATGGGCTGGAACCACGCGTGGGCTTTTTTTCTTTAAAGATTTTATGTATTTGACAAAGAGCGAGCACAGGCAGGGGGAGCAGCAGAGGGAGAGGGAGAAGCAGGCTCCCTGCTGACCAGGGATCCCGATTCAGGGCTTTGATCCCGGGACCCTGGGACAAGACCTGAGCCAAAGACAGATGCTTAACGGCTGAGCCACCCAGGTGCCCCCGTGGACGGGCTTCGGATCATTAGAGACCCCCGATGCTGCTGGGGTGACATTGGGCACCTCAAGTAGAGTTCATTACCCCAAGTGGTTGTCCCACGGCTGCCCAAGCAGACTGAGACCCACCTTCCAGCTTTGTACCCATCCACTATGTTGGGACCTCCCCCCGCAGGGCTGCTTTGAATAGAGGCTGGATGGTTTGCACCACCTCTGTGGCCCCCTACCCCCGGCCAATGAGTCCTCGAGCCCCCACTCTCTGGACCCTGCCACTGCCCCGTCTCAGCCCCACCGCTCCTCCTAGCTGGGACCCTGGGCTCAACTGTAACCAATGCCCATCTCCCGATCTTGAACTTGTCCCGATCTTGAACTTGTCCCAACACAGAAACTCTGAATTTCCCCATCGTACCTTTCTTCCTCCTCTGGTCTTCTCAGCTTTCGTAAATGGGACAACTCTCTGCATCCTTGCTCAAACCCTAACCCACCGCCTTGGCCTTCCCTTCACATTCCACGCCTTACTCACCGAAGTGCCCCGTGGGGTCTCCATCTGGACACGTGTGCAACACCGGCACTGCCCTCCCCGCCCACAGTGACATCCCAGGTCCAGACACCGTGGCCTCTGGCCTGGACGCCCAACAGATTTCTCCCATCCAAGTACTAACCAGGCCCGACCCTGCTTAGCTTCCGAGTTCAGATCCCGACAGATTTCTAAAGGGTCTCCCTGTGTCTGTGGATTCCTCTGCGTCTCGTCCCAAGTCCTCCTCCATTTCCCTTCCCTACAGCTTCCGGCTGCCCTCGGGTCCAGCCCACGCCCCCTCTGGCTCTGCTCAGTTGTCCCTGAGCGCAGGTCTGAGCTCCAAAGTCGCCTCTGCTCATGGGCCACCCAGTCACTGTGTTTTGGTTTCCTTACGGCAACTGCCACTCGGTCCCCTTCCCCACCGCCTGCCCCGCACCTAGAACTACATCTGGCACACTCAGTCGTTCAGGTACAGCCACAGAGCTGCCAACAGCAAGTTCACCTGCACTGAGCCTTGTCCTTCTGGTCGGACGGTACAGTGGCCACGCCCATCTTAGCGGATGCGGCCGTGCGTGACCCCAGAACGTGGGCCTTGGAATGAGAGCACCATGAACGCTCTTGAGGTTTACTTTGAGAGAACAGGAGTAAGGACCCGTATTCACGTCTCTCCTAGAGAAAGTGGTGGTAATAGGACCTCCGAGACTCTTAAGGTAACCCTCCAAAGCCATCACCCAGATCTGCCCATCGGTAAAAGCTCAGTGGTTTTAACATTGTGTGTGCAGAGAATAAAAAGCCTAGAAAACGGTAATGGTGGTGGTGGTTCAAGGCGGCGTGAGGTGGGCAGACAGAAAG